TGATTTGTGTATCATTTTTGGTGAGATGGCTGTTCAGTCTTTTGTTCTTTTTTTTGGAGACAGTTTCCCTCTGTCGCCCAAGCTGGAGTGCAGTGGTGTGATCTTGGCTCACTGCAAGCTCTGCCTCCCAGGTTCACGCCATTCTCCTGCCTCAGCCTCCTGAGTAGCTGGGACTACAGGCACCCACCACCATGCCCGGCTATTTTTGTATTTTTAGTAGAGATGGGGTTTCACTGTGTTAGCCAGGATGGTCTCGATCTCCTGACCTTGTGACCCGCCTGTCTCAGTCTCCCAAAGTGCCGGGGATACAGGCATGAGCCACCGCCCCTGGCCCTTTTGTTCATTTTTAATTAGGTGTTCTTTCTCTTATTGTTAAGCTTTGAGTCCTTTGTATATTTTGGAGAACAGTTCATTATCAGATCTTTTGCAAATATAAAACTTGTCTTTTCATTCCCTTAACTGTGTCTTTTGGAGAGCAGAAGTTCAGAATTTTAATGAAGTCCAGTTTATCAGTTATTTCCTTTATGTAGTGTGCCTTTGGTGTTGCATCTAAAAAGTCAACCAGATTTTCTCCTATGTTGTCTTCTAGGAGTTTTATAGTTTTGCATTGCACATCTAGGTCTATGATCCATTTTCAGTGAATTTTTGTGATGAGTGTAAGGTCTGTATCTAGATTTATTATTTTTTTTAACATTAAAAAAATGTTTGGTAGGATTCACCAGAAATCTGGGTCAAATGCTTTGTTTGGAAGGTCATTAATTATTGATTCATTATCTTTAAGAATCATAGGTCTAGTCATAGTCTAGTCATAAAACAAATTCTCTATTTCTTCTCATGTGATTTAAAGCAGATGTGTTTTTCAAGGAATTGGTCCATTTCTTCTAGCTTATTAAATTTGTGAACATAGTTGTTCATAATATTCCTTTATCATCCTTTTAATGTCATGGGATATGTAGTGATGCCCTCTCTTTCATTTATTATTATTATTTTTGAGATGAAGTCTTACTCTGTCACCAGGCTGGAGTGCAGTGGTGCGATCTCAGCTCACTGCAACCTCCACCTCCCAGGTTCAAGCGATTCTCCTGCCTCAGCCTCCTGAGTAGCTGGGACTACAGGCACGCGCCACTACACCCAGCTAATTTTTGTATTTTTAGTAGACACTTGGTTTCACCATATTGGCCACAATGGTCTCGATCTCCTGACCTCATGATCTGCTCGCCTTGGCCTCCCAAAGTGCTCGGATTACAGGCATGAGCCACTGAGCCTAGCCATTTTTTATATTAGTAATTTTGTATCTTTACTTTTTTCTTAGTCTGGTTAGAGACTTATTTATTTTATTGATCTTCCCAAAGAACCAGCTTTTGGTTTTTCTGCCTTTTTTTTTTTCCCCCCCACTGGTTTTTCTTTTTTTCTTCCTGTGGGTTAATGGACTTTTTTTTTTTTAGAATTCTATTTTGGTTTATCTATAGTGTTTTTGAGTATATGTCTTTTCGTTGCCTTTCTAGTGGTTGCTCTAGCTACTACATTGTATTATGTATAGCTTTTCACAGTCTACTGGCATCAACATTTTACCTGTTTGTGTGAACCGAAACCTTACCTGTATGCCCCTTTTCTTTCCCACATTTATAACAATTATTTCCTGTACATTCAGTGAAAACCCCAATAGACAGAATTATAATTTTGCTTCAATAAATGTAATTTAGAAACCTATGAAGGTGTACTGTATTTACCCATATTTTTACTCTTTCTACTATTCCTCCCTTATGTTCCAAGATTCCTTCTTTGATGGTTTCCTTTCTGTTTCAAGAACTGCTTTAGCATTGCAGCCAGAACCACCATTTTCCAATAATTCACCAAAATGACAAACGGAAAAGGAAAGAGGAGAGGCACCTGATATATGTTCTCTGGGCCTTTTATAACATGCAGTTGTTCCTTTGGCCACATACACATGAATCTAACAAGAAAAGTCATACCATAGACATCAGTATGGGAACTGTTTGAAAAGGAATGTCCCACAAATGTTACCATGGCAAAACTGGGAGTCCACAATGTTACCCACCATGCTGTTGGCATTGATGTAAACAAATTAAGGGAAACACTCTTGTCAAGAGATTAATGTGCATATTGAGTGTAGTAAGGACTCTAAGGGGTGAGATAGCATACTGAGAAGTGTGAAGGAAAATGACCAGAAAAAGAAGGAAGCCAAAGAGAAAGGTACCTGGGCTTAACTGAGGTGCCAGCCTGTTCTGCCCAGAGAAGCACACTTTCTGAGAACCAATGGCAAGGAGCCTGAGTTGCCAGAACCTATTCTCTACTAATTCATACCATAATAGATGTTCAACACAACAACAAAAAGACCTTTGGACTGTTAAACAAACAAAAAACTTCCTTTAGCCATTTTATTAGGACATATCTGCTGGCAACTAATTCTCTTAGTTTTCTTTTTTTGTGTTTGTCTTGTAGACAATGTGTCATTGCTTTTGGTTGCACTTTCCTGGTCCTTTAGCTACAGCGAACGGGCTGTTCTCGAACCTTTGTCTGTATGCAGCCTTTCCAGGTTGTTGGGTTCTCCAGTAACCGGTAGTAAGTATGGGATACACAAGGCAGTAAGAAAATCCAGGGAACTCACCACTATTTTATTCCTTGATTCCCAAGGTCTCTAGCGATTCTGCCTTCTTTTTTCCACCTTTCAAAGTGTTCTTGTCTGTTTTACATATAATGTTCAGGGCTTTTTAAATGAGCTTAGAAGGAAGAATAGAGAAAAGTATGTTTACTCCATCTTTTGGAATCAGAAGTCCTTTCCCGATTATTTTGATGTGTGCGTGTGATGATGCTGTGGTCATCTTTTTAAGATATACTGATTTACAGATAAAATATAATGTCTGGAATGAACTTCGTAATAATTTGGCATGGGTAAATGGGTAGGAATATAGGTGGAAGTGAGATTAGCCATGAACGGATAAATACTGAAGATGAGTGATGGGTATATGGAGGTTTATTACCCTATTTTATTTTTGTATATGTCTGAAATGCTCCTTAAAAAAAAATTTCCTGACTACCCCACTCTAATATTACAGAATCTTACAATAATCAAGATTTATCTATAGCTACTGTCTATGTTCCCTGCTACAGTATAAACTTGTTAACAGGGACTCAGTCTATCTTGGTCACAATTATAAGCTCCAAAGCTTCAAAGTGACTGGCATATAGTTGTTACTCAAATCACCATGTTTCGTCAAATACAAGATGCCATAGATTGTAAAATATCTTAATTTTATGTAGCAGTAGGAAAAATTTCTGCAAACTGTGACACATACTACCAGTTTTCTATTTTTGAGATGGAGTTTCGCTCTTGTCACCCAGGCTGAAATGCAATGGCATGATCTCGGCTCACTGCAAACTTCGCCTCCTGGGTTCAAGCGATTCTCCTGCCTCAGCTTCCCAAGTAGCTGGATTACAGACGCCTACCACCATGCCCAGCTAATTTTTGTATTTTTAGTAGAGACAGGGTTTCACCATGTTAGCCAGGCTGGTCTCAAACTCATGGTGTCAGGTGATCCACCCACCTTGGCCTCCCGAAGTGCGGGGATTTCAGGTGTGAGCCACTGCGCCCAGCTGACATACTACCAATTTTTAGAAGTATTTTGATTTGGGAGATGCCACAATGTGAAAACATGTCTATTGGTATCTGCGGAATAAATAAACTAAATAATGTGAGATTTAGATAATGGCGAATATGTGTTCAAGGACAGATCATGTATTAATCGATAACAGTTATATTTTTGAGTCTATTATCAATTCTTCAGTGAATGTTCCTTATCAAATATTAAAAATTTATGTCTAAGTTTGTAGGACTATTACAAACCTTAATAGAAAATGCGAGATTCCACAATGATGGTCTCCACCTTTTACCACCAAGAACTTCCTGTATTAATTTATCCCCAAGGTCTCCATATTTTAAAATACTTTGATAACCAAGTAAAGTTCATTTGTTAAGCTAATTTTGTCTTTTATGGAATAAATTATACTGTTTGGATTGAGGTAATATAATTCCAGCTACAATAAAAGACACTTCACTTTTTGCCCTACTTGTATGGATTCACTACAGGGAAATGCAACATTTCCATTAGAATATAATTTTGTAACCTCTAGTGCTACTTTCCTGGAGTTTAGGCCCCAGTGGAATCGGGATGGCAGTCACTGACTGGCTCTTAGCTCCTGTATTAAGTCAACAAAGGGCATTTAGCTGGCCCATCTTACATTTATGTTAGGAGTTAGGCATTTGTTTACACAGCTCTCCACAAAAGAGTCTTACCTTCTGTGTTCCAGAATACCCAGCTGGGTGACTTCTTACTTGGATTAATGATTTCTCTACCACAAGAACCAACCTACCCTGTTCATGAAATATTTTAAAGAACTGGTCACTTAGTCTTGGGCTGCACGGGAGGGGACGAGTGTGGGGCTAGAAAAAGTGAAGACATGAAACAACCATGAATCTGCAACCAAAGCACAGACTGGGAAAGATTTTAGTATCAACAGAACTAAAGACAGATTCTTCCAAATTTGAGAGATGACTAAAAATCTTAGTTATTGTGGTAAAAAACTTCAGTGACAAGTGGCTGCCTTCAGGTGCCAAATCGCACTATCCTCTCAATCTCTACATAAACAAAAAGAGCTATGGCCACCAGCCAAGGCCCTGCCATTTTCCCACCAGTAGCAGGAGGTCAGGCCATTCACTGAAGTGCCTTATGAATAGGATTTGACGGCCATTAGCATTTCCTGACAGCTGATGGTAAACCAGAACATCAACAGGGTGGTTTAGGATTGTTTTGGAAATCTGAGTAGTGCTTCTGTGATGAAACTCTACTTTCAGTTAACATAGGATTGGCTTTGGCTTTCATTTTAACCTCTGAAAGACATTATTGTTTATGTTTGTCGCCAGATTTAAAAATGGACAATTGTGATAAAGGACGTTAAACAGAACCCAGATAATGCCTAAACCTAATTGTTTCCCACCAGTCCAGTTTTATTTAGATTTTATGTGCTCACATATAGACACACTTAAAGAGCATATGTTTATATATACATATATAAAATATAGATGATATGGGAATTTCTGACAAAGTGATTTATTAATGAAAATTTATTCACTATATAACCTTTGAATACCTGAGAAACTTCATTATGTACAAATCAGCATGAAGTTCCCAGTTCCCAAACTTTGGTTATATGAATATGCCTCAAGCACCACAAAAGAAACATTAGTCCTAATTTAAAAAGAAAAAAGTACCAAGAAACAAAAAAAATCTTCAATTCTCTTGAATCTGTTTTCTTTACACCACATCAGGAAAACCCCCTTTTATTCCACATTTCCTTTCATCTCAGTTTTCAAAACTGGTATAAAAAAAACTGATCAGAAGAAAAAAGACAGACAAACCATTATAGATAAAAGTGATTATCTCAAAAGGACAATTTCTGGAAATTATTCTATCTTAAATAAAGAAACTATTTTAATCTAGGAGGTTTGCATTATGCAACATATATGAAGAAAAACCCTAATTATTAATTTTCAGAATTTAAAAACTTAAACAATGCAAGCCTATTAAGAGTTGAGTGGAAGGCTCACAGGGAAATTTTTAGCAAAATCAGTTAAAGAGATTCCTGGATTTCAACTTGTTTCCTGGCATTGCTGGCATCTGTGGGCTGCAGAAGCAATTGGTATAATATATGGGCAGGAAGAAAGAGACCCGACAGGCTGAGCACAACCTTCCATGGGATTTCACAAGAGATCTGATGGACAAAAGAAATAAACATCAAAGAATGAAAACTGAAAAAGAAGAAAATAGAAACAAAACATATCTAAGTCCACGTGAGTCAGGATGGAGGGGGTTTAGATGTATCAACTGACAACTGCATATGTGTGGAAGAGATTGCATCCTTGACTACAAATGTGGATTATATACACATTTATATTAACTTAAGTCAATTCATATATTACACCTGACAGCTCAAAAGGACGTCTCTGGTGGGAGGTGGGAGAAGATGCTATCCGTTCGGCTCCTCAGGTCCCTGTCCTTTGCCCTGAATGGTCAGCAGTCTCTGCACAGGACTCGGCGGCATGGTATATGAACGGATAAAGCTTGATGTCTGGTCCAGGGGTGGAACAGTTTCTGCATTCTTCATTGTAATATCGTAGCAACAGCTTATACACGTCTCCTGGAGAGCCAAAGGTCAGACCAGAGGCACATTAAAGTATGTAATTGAAAAAAACCTTAGAAAGAACACTCCAGTTTTATCTTAATCTAAATAGCATATGCTCAGATTTGGCTTTTGAAAATACAGCATGAATTTCATATGCCTGAAAGGCTTTCCCAACATAAATTAAACAAATTTTAAAAACTCTTTAAAGCAACAACTTCTTAGCTCATGATAACAACAGGTTATACAGGTACACTGTCCATGCACCCTCCTGGGAGTTCACGGCAGCCCTCGTTATATACTTAGCTCCTGAGGTAGGAAGCACACTGGATGAGCACTGGCAGGTCTGAGAAATAGGACAGTGGTGCTTCTCAGATCTGAACTTACCTTCATTCATCTCTCCCATTTTAGATTTTTATAGACACAAAAGCAAAAATGAACACTAACTCCAGCTTCTTGACCTTCCTTTAGTAAGCTGATGTACTCTATCAAGACTGTGGATGAAACTTTGCCAGAACAAACAGACTCTGCACATGCTGCCCCTCTGAGAGCTTTGTTCTTCCCGCTCAGAGTCATGCTTTTGTTTCTTCGTACCCACTGTGATTCATCCAGATTTAGCAAGTGTTTCCACTGAATGGTGTATAATCCATCTAGATACCAAGTGTCAAGAGTATCTCCTACTTACCAACAGTGAGTTTCCTTTCAGTAAGGAAAATGTGCATGCTGTAAATGTCTCTCATCAATTCTGAGTCCCCAAAGGTGAAATAAACCACATCTCGCTCAGCTGCAGCAGCTGCCAGTATCTGTATTAAGGCTGAGGCAAAGAGAAAACACACAGTTGTATAATGACACTTCCCACCTAGATACCTTTAGCTCTTTACCAGCTGGTGTGCCACAGCTTCACCCTAGATTAAAGATTTATAAATCTAGTATACATGATATTAGAAATGGGGAACACAAGGCTGGGCACGGTGGCTCACACCTGTAATCCCAGCACTTTGGGAGGCTGAGGCGGGCAAATCACCTGAGGTCAGGGGTTTGAGACCAGCCTGGCCAACATGGTGAGACCCTGTCTCTACTAAAAATACAAAAAAAAAAAAAAAATTTAGCCGGGCATGGTGACGGTTGCCTGTAATCCCAGCTACTTGGGAGGCTGAGGCAGGAGAATCGCTTGAACCTGGGAGGCGGAGGTTGCAGTGAGCCGAGATCGCGCCATTGCCCTCCAGCCTGGGTGACAGAGCAAGACTCCGTCTCAAAAAAAAAAAAAAAAAAAAAAAAAAAAAAAAAAAAAAAGAAAAGAAAAGAAAATAAATAAAAAGAAATGGGGAACACAAGATGGACATAAATCATCTAGTTGTGTGGCTTTTCAGATATGCTGCCAAGAGTATCATCAAACTATAGAATTCCAACACAGGCATCTTTGCTGAACCACAAATAATGGAAGCCACAAACCATGGGACTAAGGTGGTATTTATATTCGCTTCTATTATATCTGGAACTAAAATTTTTGTGTTTGCTTACTTGATATAATTGCTGTGTCTTATCACACAGCCACTGGTCTTTTGTATAGGCACATTTGGGAGGTTCTAATGCTCTCCTTAATCCCACAGCAGGAGTTCTCAAAATGGGCTGGGGAGCACACCTGCATCCCTCCTGTACTCTGACCTCCACTGGTCACTGCAGCACGGGAGGCAGAGTTCCTGAAAACACTGGAAAGTCACTCTCTGGTGTACTATAAGAATGAAAAAACAATCGAGATCTACTATCTCCAGGAATCAAAGTTACAAATCACTGAGCCTGAAGTATGTTTCCGAAAATTTAGTTACCTTACAATCTCAGTAGATAGGGTTTATTTTAAATAACCATAAAATTGAATATAGTTACGATAAATGCCCTTTTGCTAGTTATAGATCTCTTACTTCATAAAAGGGAAGATGGGAATCAAATTAAAACATTAAAGAGGGTATATATATTTTTTGAGATGGAGTCTTGCTCTGTCACCCACGCTGGAATGTAGTGGTGTGATCTCGGCTCACTGCAACCTCTGCCTCCCGGATTCAAGAGATTCTCCTGCCTCAGCCTCCCAAGTAGCTGGGATTACAGGAGCCTGCCACCATACCTGGCTAATTTCTATATTTTTAGTAAAGATAGAATTTTTTCTCTTTAGAAAACGGTTTCACCATATTGGCCAGGCTGGTCTTGAACTCCTGACCTCAAGCAATCTGCCCATCTCAGCCTCCCAAAGTGTGCGGATTACAGGCGTGAGCCAATGTGTCTGGCCAAAGAGGGTATCTTTTTATAGTTTTGATTTTTTAGAGCATGTTAATATTCTACATATTTACAAATTAAAATTAAAATACTAAGAATAGGAATGGGGAGAAACCTGTAACTGAAGGTAAATTAAAACAAATGAGCGTAATTTTAGTTCAAATAAATAACATAACTAAACTGAAGGGAAACGAAGAAAAGGAAGAAAGAAAAAACCCAACAACTTATGAAGACAATATATGACTTACATAAGTCCGTAAGACCATAATATATGGTCTTAGGCCAGGAAGAGAGAACTGCAAACGAATTCCTAACTCTTTTTACAAGGTTTGCTTACCATACTAATGGAGGTGAAGCAACTCCGAAACTATTTTGAACTGTATTAGAGGAATGAGCAAATGAATAAATGTGTTGATGCTGCTGGGAACTGGGGTCTCACTATGGAAGAAGAGACACACAAACATGGAATGGAGGAAGACAAAAAAGAACTGTGTGGAGATGGACCGAAATGGAAGGCACTGGTGTATACTCGTGATGTCGAAAATATGTGTATCTGTGTGTGTGTGTGTGTGTGTATGTGTACATATACATTTCCTAGCTCTATCTGCCAAAAGGGTCAAAAGGGAGACACCATAGTAGCAATGACCACACTCAGCGCCCAGATCTTGGTCTCTACTATCATTCCCCCTAAATGGAACTAGATTCCTCAAGAAATGCTTAATGCTATAGTTTGGACAAGAAAGGTACAAGATGATCTCAAAATATTTTGTTATACCAGAAAGTAAAGAAATGCTCAAATGGATAAAACGAAACAAAAAACAGAAGGGCCAGCTCTTGCCCACAGGAGAAAGCCAAAGACTAACTGTTAAGTGTGGAGGGGGAGGAACATCCTTTCTTTGCAACCACTGTGGTAAAGGTCAGGCAAGAATCATTAACATATGCTAAATCTAGGGAAAATTTTGCCTTTGTCTTCCTACAGATTGCTTATTAGTTACAAGGGAGGAAAAAACCCCTCAACTCTGCAGTGGGGAAACTGGGCAACACCCTGACACGGTGATCAAAATTAAGATCCCCAGTAGTGTCAGATGGCCATCAAGTGCCTCTTGACAGTGTCACTGACGCAGCATTCTGACGGAGAATGCATAACCTTAACCTCATCACAAGGAAACAGCAGACAAACTCAAAGAACACTGTATTCTTTAAACACATCAATGTCATAAGAGACAAAGAAAGGCTGTGGAAATATTCTCGATTCAAAAGGAGGCTAACAAACATGACAACTAAATGCAGTAGCTGACCCTGGACCCTGCGCTAGAGGGAAAAAGGCTAGAAAGGGCTTTATTAGGTCATCTGACAAAATGGGAATATAGATGAAAGAGTAAATAAGGTATCAGTGTATATTTATGAATTTAATAACTATAATGTGTTTAAGAGAATATTTTATCCTTAGGAAATACACATTGAAGTATTTAGAAAAGAGGGCATAGTATATGTAAGTTAGGCTCAAATTATTCAGAAAAAAATTGTGTGCAGGTGTATACATATATATGCATACATAAAGGTATTTTTATTTTTATAAATTCGAAATTATTTAAACAGACAGTTTTTAAAATTACATGCGAAGAAAAAATTTTAAGTTGAACCAGTAAAATTTGATATAGTTGAGTATTTCCCAGATTTGGGAAAGAATCTATGACATTATAATATATGTAAGATTCTAAAATACCATCAAAGTATGTCCTAATTTCCAAACTAATATTTATTGAGTATCCACAACATGGGAGGTGCCATAACTATGCCTCATTAATCTCAGAGTATTGAAAGTAATTAACTTCAAAATAGAGATAAGTTTTAATTAAAACTGCTCAACCAACTTATGCATACATTAAAGCTTCAATACACCCTATTTCAAAAGGTTCCTAATTGACCTAAACTACACATAAAAATGGGAACTAATGAATCATCATCTTTCTTGACCAAAAAGTACCACTGCTTACCTTTCAGTGAAAATGAAAATTTAGCTTTAAGTATTTACTGTTAAAAAAGACAGAGACCCAAAGAAGAGTCTTTTTCATCCTATTTCCTACTAGATCTCTAGTCATTTGCCATTTGTGAAAATGAAGTATTAATAAAAACATTTAAAATTTATCTCTTTATAGAATTTATTTTATATTAAGAGAAAATCAAAAAGTAAAACCAATTCATATTACATTCTTGATTTCACACCCATTTCTATTTGAGTACATATTGTACCATAAGCATGTGTTAGACTAGTCAGGACAGGGAGGCAGGAGATCCAAGTTCTATCCTCAGCCTTCTGCCAGATATCTAGCTCTGTGACTTTAGCCAGTTACTCTCTGGGCCTCATTTTTCTCAATTACACAATGGAGTTAAATCAGATGCTCCCTGAAGATTCTTTCAGAGTTCAGAAATTCATAACGACCGTTATGATTGTTTTCCCTCCATTGGATGCTAGACTATAAATACATAAATGAAATTTCCAGAAAGATAATCTCGATCCTAGATACATCAGTAAACACTGACAAAAGTTTATTTTAAAACATCACTGTCTTGAGGCCTTCCTGTCTACAACACCCCCAAGATCTTTGCAAATTTACACAATTATGCTTCATGATTTAAGTGAACTCTCTTGCATCAAAAGTTAGATGAGAATAAATTACAAGTCTATTAGAGTATGTGGACTGATTCCAAGTATGATATAAAGACATCAAATTCTAACTTAAAGCACAACTACGTGCCAAAATAATCACTTAAATTAACCTGCAGGGAGTTTGGTTTTAATTTTCTTTTTGGCATCAATGTTAAGCTATGAAAAAATATAAATAAATATGAGTAACATAAAAAGCAATTCATAGTGTCCTGTTGCAACAAATGGACCAAGCACAAAATGGGTAAGATGATTGATACTCACACCACAGGTGTGGTGTGAGGCCACCAGCATGTAATATTGGTAATGACTGCTAACACTGGGCTCTTACAGCACACTGAACACTGTTCTAGGAGCTTTACAAACACTACCTCATGATTCCTTACAAAAACTCAACAAGGTAATTATTACTTCCATATTGAAAATAAAGAAATTTAGGCACCAAAAGATTACATAATTTGTCTCAGGTCACACAGCCAGAAAGTGGTGGAGCTGACTGGAACACCAACTCAAGAACACATGCCCTCACCCACTGCTTCTGGGCTGCTATGGCAATCCATGCTGGTCAACTCCAAGCAGACCTTACCACATGCCAGCCAGAGCAATGTCTTTACATTGTTTATTCAAACGATTTAAATGCATGCTGTCAAGGAGGCCAAAATAGTAGATTTGAAAGTACTACGCACGTCCTTCTACTGAGCTTACTTGGTGAGATCTCACACTTTGGGTACCCTGAGAGCTCAGCTTTGCTCACCAGTCCCAAAAGCATTTCACTTCTTGTTTCTACCACATAGCACTCTTTGAGGCCAACTCTTATTCTCCAATTAGTCTTGTCCTCTGGCTACTGTTTTAAATCTTGACACTCCCTCCCTCCTTTT